GGTACCGCGGTCGCGCTGACGGCGCTGTCGTTGCAGAGCCCATGGAGACCCCGGCCCGCCCGAGCCCCTCTGGACCGCCGGGCTGCGTTGTGGAGGAGTCTCCATCGCCCGACGGGGAGAACAGGTACGTGGGGTGGGTCAGGCCGCGGGAGCCGCCATCCAGGGGCACTCGGCCGCCGCCTTTCCGGCCTGCTCTCTCTCGTGCTGAGGACAGGCCGAGAAGGCGGGCTCGGTGCTGTAGAGGCCGTGCTCGGCCCCGGCCAGGACGTGCGGTGCTGGGGGCGTGGAGTGTCTGCTCGGTGCCAAATGCCTCCTCGGAACACGAGCCGCGGGAAGGCGGCCTGCGGGAGCCCCTGCGCGACCTTAGCGAGTGTCTCTGTTGCAGTGCCCTTGGAAAGGCCGGGGAACGAAGTGAAGGCGATGTTGAGGACTGTGCTTCTTCGCTGTGTGTAGAAGGTAACTTACTCATTTCAGGTCGTTTTTTTGGGTTTTGAATCAGATCGACCGTCTTTGCAGTTTTTCAGTCGAGTTGACTCAATTGTCTCACCAGGGGCAGCTGTGCCGGTAGTAATATGTCGCAAATTGGCGTCCTTTTCTGGAACTGATTTGTATGCTTTGGTGTTGGAAATTAAAAAAAAAAAAATTAAAAATGTTTGATTAATTATTGTTAGAATGGATCTTCGGGGATGAAGGTGGTTTAGAAGAGGCAGGGATACATTGTGATCGTCAGGAAATGGAGCCTTATTGTGAACTGGCACAATGATCCTCGTCATCAGAGGATTTTCAGACACAGGCTGTGTATTATCAAGATTATTTTCTCTTCACAGAATGAAAGTATGCTGCAGTTCCTAATGGCATTACATAGGCCCTTGCTGATTAATACAGATTTCTGCGTTAATGGCCACTGTCCCTGTTCTGTTACCGTATTTTAATTAGTACAGCTAAGATCAGATCAGTTAGTTTATTCAGAGTTTCACCAATTGCCTAAATACTTTGCACATTAGAGGGTATGTCTTTTCTCTTATGAAAGTGATAGATGGCTCTTGAATTTTTTTTTGGTATATATGTTTGTAATGGATGTCTGGTGTTAGATACAGGCATGTCACAGCTGCAGTTTGGAGTTCTAGAGCTGTCGCAGAGCCAGGACTTTGAGAGTGACTTTGTGCCCAGTGAGGGAGATGCTAGGTATCAGCTTCACTCTGGACCTGCTGTCCTTTCTTCCAGACTTGTGAGGAACGAGTCTAAATATGGTAAGTGAAAATGATCATAGATGTCTTCTTGCTGCTGTGTAGATTCTATCTAGTTTCTTTAAATTATAGAAGGTATGGGTTTTTTTGACAGGAAATACGGTATTAGTAGTTTTCAAAAATGTGTTCACAACTCACTGGTAGTTGCAAAGAATTTTTCCCCCTCTTTCTTTTGGGCTAATTAACTTGTTTTCTTGTACCTGTCGAAGTGCTATCTTTGATTCTTTCACTTCTCTTTCCTAATTTCTTTCCAGAGTATTTAGGCAATCTGATACTGAATTTCTTCTCTGATAAAAACCTCATTCTGTTTTTGTTTTTTTTTTTTTCTTCTTGTTATCATAGATAGTTAATTTTTATTATTTTTTTTTTAATATAGGGCTTGTTTTGGTATTTGTGTAAATTACAGACCTACATTTTCTTATTAGTATTTTATTCCAGGTGATGTGAGTAACAAATCTTTTTCTTTTATCTCTCTCTTCCTAGAACTTTGTGGGGTCAACACAGAAAGTGACTCCAGCACAGAAGCACATACTGCTTTGGAAAGCCAGGCAGAGAAGTCTGAAAGGTAAAACAGTCTGTCTTCTATGTAGGTCTTTTGTGGACATTCTAGAAGCTGATTTGTGTCTTTTTTTTACTAGATTTTTAGATGTGGGAGAGGGTTCAAGGCAAAAGAGAAAGATGTACTGCTGAGACCTTTTTGCAGCAGTGCTAAGGAGTTTTCTCAGCATTCCTCGGTGAGAAAAGATGTGATGTCAAACTCCTAAACACAAAGATATTGATAGGTTTGTTTTTACAAGTGCGAGTTCACTGTGTAGTAAAATATGCCAGTAATTTTCCCAAGATGATATGACTGGAATATACTAGAAGCAATAATTAATTTTAGGTCACAGAAGTGACTTAAAGAAGTCAAGAAATTATCTTGAAATAACTTAGTCACTGTAACGTGGGCTTTGGCTGCACAGGAGAAATGTGGAGGCTAAGTGGTGGGTATTCCAGGATGCTTTTGAGTATTTGCTATTGTAATCTTTATGGTTTTAACTGTTTTTAAGTGTGAAATTTCAGTTTGTTGAATAGTATTTGTTCTATCTGGCATAAAATTTATATGATATTTAGCTCATCTGGTTATTATTCTGTTCTGCCACAAAATAGCGTTAAAGAGGTGAAATGAAATTCCTAGAATCTGCATTGAATAGAAGTAGAACAATCTGCATTCCATTTAAGTATCACTTAGATCAGTAGAAAATGTAAAAAACAATTCTAAAAGTATAACTGATCAAAGATGAAAGTGTTACTTTGTCAGGAGAAATTTGTCTTCCTTCTCTCCTTTTCTTTTCCTCTGTTATACATGAGTGAATACCTTCTATCTGTTACTGATAGATTTTCTTTACAATATTGTCTTACTCCATATGCTGAATTTCTCAGGTCAAAGACTGTGTCTTGCATTTCCAGAACTCTGCAGGAGGCAGAAGAACATACCAGAAAGAAAATGCCTGTCAGTGATGCCAGTAAAACTGAGGAATCCTTTGTTTCTGGTCATGATGAATCAGATATCTTGTCAACTCAGGAAGAGATGTTTCCTGATAATCATGCAACAGGTAACAATAGACAAGCAGAACCAAAATGTCCATCCCGGAGACAGTTATAAATATTATATGTACTTGATCTTTATAGGCATATAGTATTTTAGAGTGCAGAGCATCATGAGAATTCTTCATGTAATTTCTGCTATAATTGAGAACACTTTGGAAATGAAAGGCCATGGCCTCATTCAGTAGAGTATGGAACAATGTCTAAATGTCACTTCCTGTTAGAATGGTTACTGGCTTGTCAAATACATTTAATTTCCTTTTTTTCTGTGCTGTTTGAAGAGCAAAACCCAACTTTTATGCTATTCTGAAACAAATAATGACACACCAGTGTGGATAAGTAGTGTAGGCAAACTTCTGCCCAGTGGTGTCTACTCTGATCTGATCTTGTGAATTAACCTTCTGTATCCAGAAGATTCAATGACAACCTTCCCCTCACACTGAGGTGTGAGGTGTGACACTCTGTGGTCAGTGCAGGGTGTCTTTTCTTGCAAGAACCTTGCCTATATTTGCATTCTAGTGCTGGATCAGGAGTGCGGATATCCCATTGGGGATTTTTTTTAAATTCCCATGTAGGAAGACTTGTACACTCTAAAATCTGTTCAAAATTTTCTTTTTCATCTGAACTATTTTGTGCTCACATTTCACATACTGAACTTCTGTGTGCAGTCCTTCACCATCTCTGAAAGTCAGCTTGTCATTGCCTATCTGAGAAGGAGCTGTGCAATAGCATGAGTTTAATTCCTCGGAATTTTCTGATCACTGTTTTTTTGACCATATTTCTATCTTCATTTCCTTTTGTTCAAAGCCACTGCAGGGAGTGGCTGTCCAATAATCAGGGTGGTGGAGGGAAGTTCTCTGGCCTGCACCCCTGCCTGCAGTCTGCAAGTCCTGCAGCTCTCTGGACAGACATTCGTTGTACAGGAGGGTCATTCCATGTAAGCAAAAAATTCCAAACCCTTTCAAGAACTTCATTGTAGTAGTGCATTCCCCCTACTCTCTTCATTATTCAAGGACTTGTGCTTGATTAAGCAACCAAGCATTTTAAGTGTTAAGTTTTAAGTGTTTTAATTTTCCACTATGAGAGGAACATGGCCTTATTTTGCAATGAAATGAGCTAATGGTGACCATGTGATCTTCACTGTCGCTAGTCTCTTACTGGTGAACACCTGACACTTGCCTTTCATGAGAAGAGTTGTATTGTGACAAGCTGGAGCTTGATAGGAGGAGAACTTAATGCATTTTTTAGTGAGGTGTGGTTTTCATTTCCCTGTTTCCTTTTGGGCTGCAGTGTCTCTTCAGACCTAGTTATTCCTCCTCCTGTTTCCTTTGGACCCAATGCCCTTGTCCCCAGCAGTCCTACTGAGCAGGAGCAAGCAAAAGGTAACGTTTTTTCTGCATAGAGTCTGTGGTTGTGTTTCTGTGCACTGGTTTAGTCAGAGCTTGCAGCCTTTTCAAAATCTGTTAAAATTATGTTTAAAGTGTAAAGCAGGACTGAGAACAGTGAAGGGGTAGATGAAGGGAGATCTATATTTGTGACTGTTGTTTATGATTCTCTATATTCTCTGTCTGCTATTGCTATTTCCTGCAAAGCTGTCACAATAAAATGACTACTGTTGACTAGTTCCCCTCCACTTGAAAGAAGGGAAGTGCTTTGTATGGCATACAGATTTCTGCTGGCAATTACATTCCTTCTTTAGGGATAAGCCATTCTTGCTACAGGCAGAAACCTGTTTTAAGTCTATACTGCTAGGACAATAGGAAAGACAGATAAGAATTACATAATATGAGTTGTTTTATCTTAATATAGACAATTTCCACAGTATTTTTAAGACCTTTTATATGCTGTGTGTATCCTAAATTCTGATGGTTAAAGAGAAATTATTTGATATGATATGCTGGTTATTAAATATTTTCTCTGAGCACACGTTTACCATCAGGGATAAGATACCCATCTGTGCAAGCTTTTAGCATGATAGACAATCAAATATTCCTTTTTGAGATATTCCTGTCACAGAATGTGAAATACTGTTAGAACAGATATTTTTTTAGCTGGGGTCTGAATTTTGTTGCATTTTAATAAAGATAGCAAAAGAAAAAGGAATATCTCAGAAAAATGCTTTTTTATAAATTTCAGACACTTTTTTCCTAATTGTAGAAGTTCTAGGCTTATAGCAAAATAGCCATGTGAATTTTTAACAGAACACTTTCTTCCCCCTTTGAAAGTAAAAATACAGATGTTTTTGTTGATCTTTTTCTTTTGTTACAAAAAGAATGCCCCTGGAGACAAGATTTTACAAAATTGAATGCACCATTGAAGACAAATCTTTTAATAGAATGTTGGAAAGTTAGGTACAACACAAGATTTTACTGCTAATATCTTTTCTACTCTTTCAAATCAGATGAACAGATGGATATATCTATCCCTGCAGAAGGAAGAGAACTGATGAAAAAGCAGAGAGGAGATATACTGGTGGAGATGGCCCTCCCTTGTATCTCTCCAAGACCTCTTGTTCAGCCACAGGCTTCAACTCCAGTGTCCCAGAGTGCCCCAAACTCCTTTCCTGGATCTTTACCTGTACCATCACAACCAGAGTTCTCTCATGTAAGGGTTCATTCATGTATATAGCTTTTCTGAGGTTTTTATATGGCTGATGCAGATGTGTTTGAGTCAACCTCTGTTCTTTTGTGTTGAGCTTCCCTACTAAGCTAGTTCTCATGAACCTCCCTGTTCCCACCAGTCGCAGTTATATATTAGTCATACTGTGTGGCAGCTTTTCCTGCAGTGAAAATGCAGAACAGCTTCAGAGGGCATAGTGAGTTGCAGAACATAGAAGCTGTTGTCTTAGACTGGGCTGCCTTATCCTGAACTGCCTCTAAAACTGCATCATAAATTAGTTTTTTATTGGGAAAGACCTTAGCATCCTTGTTTGTGGGGAAAGGGAAGCTGTTCCATAAGAAAGCATCTTTATTCTCCTACAAGGCTAGAATTTATTTACTGCTTTTTTTCAAGCTGTTTATTCTTGCTCTCTGTTGTTTCCTTTGTACATTTTGATTCTGGAAATGATAACTGTTTAAAAGGGTTTAGCAGACAGTTTGTGGGTTTATACCTAAATATTATGGATGTCATGAACTTGCTAGGAGCTTCACTAGTTGAAGCAGTGCTTCTCCTTAGCTGAAAGCAGTATTTGTTATATAGGAGATATCACAGGGAATCTTTCCAGCACCCTTGCTTGCTTGAGTAAAAATAGCTACTAATTTGCCATATTTTCCCTGTATTTTATGATTTGGTAGTGAAAGATACCAAGGATTGTGTCTGACCTTGTCACAGATGTACTAAATAGTAATGTGTGGTGATAATTTTTCTTGGCAAAAACAGGTAAATCATGGCTCATATAAATGTGTGGAAAAAAAGTTTTGGATGTTTGTTTGTTTTTGTTTTCATTGGTTGTTTCTTGGTCTGTTGTTTTGTGCTAAACTTGATCTGATCCATAATCCAGTGTAATTTTTAGGAATAACAAACAAACAATCCTACTTGGGATGTCCTAATAATCTATGTCCCTCTTTTTTCATTTTAGGATATCTTTGTTCCAACTCAGAGTCCAGAGAAGAAGCATGAAGGAGAAGAAAAAACTTCTTTAAAAACTGCTTTAACCCCTTTGTGCTTACCAGGATCCACAGATGCTTTGTCAATGATGTCTGCTGATGACTGTGTATCACAGCCTCCAGAGTCATGTGAACTGACGCTTTCTGCAAGTGCATGTAGCCAGCCCACAAATACAGACAACAGTTCAGGCTCTCTGAACACGTGCCAAGGCAACGAGACCACACAAGTAGAGAGAATTTCTGAATGCAAGGCCTCAGACTCAAGACTCTGTTCTGTGGAGAATGATAAAATAGAACTGAATGTAGGTGATCAAGCACCCTCTGAAAACAGTGAAGAAACAAAAAAGGAGGATGTAGGGACTGCATGTGAAATGCCTGTAGGACAGTTTGCTAGTGCAGGTGTTGCAGGAGATGGGCCATTAGCCCCTACAGTTCATCAGGAGATCAAGTGTATTTCTGGAAGTCAGGCTGCTGCAGATCAGTCTGGTCTGCCTGAGATTTTGTCATATACTCAAGAGACTTCCAAACCTGAGGCAGTTCCTGAGACTCAGTGTGAAGAACAAGAAGATAAACTGCAAGTAAAAGAGAAGCAAATAAAGGAAGATAGGTCTCCTGGTAATATAAAACTTTCTCACAAGTTTATTCTTGAAAGGAAAGGACAGTGTCATGAAGATACAGAAGTGAATAATACTTGTATAAATAGCAAAAATGTAGTCCAGGAATTAGAAAAGAGTGGACCAGAATGTCAGGGAAAAGAAGCTTTGAAAGGTTGTACTTTGGATGCTGGGAAGGTGAAGAACATGGATAAACTATCTTCTAAGGCTGTAGCAGGAAATGTGGAAAAGCTCAATGAAGTTTTAGCTAAGCCTTCTGTAGGGGAGTTATTGGAGCAGCACAATTTGCTTCCAAAGTTAAAGAGTGATGTCCAATCAGAACTGGCATTGTGTGACAAAAAACATCCCAATCGTTCAGAATTGGGACAGGTAATGATAATAAGCAATCGGCCATCACTTCAAGAGAGAGGGGTTGAAACATGGGTGGTTCGGCACGAGAATCAGGTGCTAAAGAATATGGAGGATACTGTTAGGACAAGGAATCTGGAGCAAGAAGAGCAAATGCAGCCACAGGAGAAGGCAGCTTCTAAATCCCCCAGTCCTTCCAGTGGTAAGTGAATTTAGGTTAGTAGTTCACAGGTGTATATTTTGAATAATGTCAAGGACAGCTGTATACAATCCTCAGTGTTTTTAGGGAGCACTGCTACTGGATGCAATTTGAGCAGTCTCTTTTAAGAGCAGCACTACACTTCACTGTGTTATATGCAGAATATGACATTGCTGTTTTCCCCTGTGGTTTCAAATTTTTGTTTCTGACAACAACAGGGTCCTTGAAAGGAACAGGGGTGTGATAGTCAGTACGTTCCCTCTTGTAGGTCTCCTTAGTTTCTTTTTCCTTTTTGTCATTCTCAGAGGAGAATTTTCTTTGTGGAGGTGTACAGAGCAACTTTGAGCTAGAAACTAATCTAGCAAATTTTTCATGAGATTTTTTTTAAAGTAGAATGGCTTTTCACTCGCATGCAAAATGTGGCTCAGCAGGTATTGTCATCATCCATTGAAGTAATTTAACACATAGTGTGTCATTATACAAGATGTGAGATACTACACCTGTTTTGTGGAGCTTTTGCCTCTTAGCTGGCTTAATTTTTAAGCACAGTTCTCTACTCCTCCAATGAGAATGAACAAAGAATGATTTTAGTGTCAGAATATGTATTTCACCTCTATGAAGTCTGTTTGGAAAAGGGAAAGACTGTAGGACCTCAAATGTTATTTAATGTTAAGTTGAATGATGATGTTTTTGCTACAATAGTTTTAATTTCCTTTAACTGAAAGAAGAAAAAATAGCTTTGCTATACAGAAAATAATGCTTTGAGGGGATCTAGTCAAAATACTTGTCAGAAGGTTCAGTATGATCTAAGATGAACTTTACTGTGAACAAGTCCACAACATTTGGGACTACATGTTTTTTAAGACAATTTGGCGTAGTCAGGAGAATGATACTGATCTTCCAACTTAAGAACAGTATGGGTTTTATTAAATGCAGCAATATGTTTGGCAGTACACCGCTGAAATTATGATAAAGATAAATAGCTGCAGTTATATTACAAGGTTAAATGTCAGGTTGCACTTCAATATGGTCTTTCACAATATTCACATATTTCTAAGAGATCATAAACAAAATCGTGTTTGACTTCAGATAATATTTGGCCTCTCATTCTGTACTCAAAATGTTTTGCTTTTTTTCTTGAACAAATCGAAATGCAACTTAAACACATCACAGTTGGCTGGGTTTACTTTTTGAAAGAGTACTATAAGCCATTGTTTAAAGAAGATGAGTTCAAAAATTAATGCTTGTTTGCGTTTTATTATTTGTATTACACTAAAGGGCTGATCAGTGTTAGGAGAGAGTTCAGGCTTTTGAGATACTCTTACCTAATTACCTTCAGACTCATGAAGCATGGTGGAAGAGTATATAGAGTGGTATTTGCTCTCCTACCATTACTCAGTCCTTAAGGTATGAAAAGCTGTAGAGCATCCCTCTAGTCTTAAAGCAGCTTTGTTATCATAATAATTATTTTCATAATAAATATTTTAGGAGTCTAATCCCTTATCAACAAATTATGAAGCAGAAATCAGTAAGCACAAACTTTGGGTAAGGGCTTGCCAAGGGTAGTCTGTCCCTTCATCCAGGTCACTGATGAATAAGTTGAGGCTGGACCCTGTAGTGATCCCTGGGGACACCACTAGCTATAGGACTCCAGCTAGATTCTGCACCACTGATCGCAGCCCTCTGAGCTCTGCCATTCAGCCAATTCTCAATTGACCTTGCTGTTCATTCATCCAGACCGCACTTCCTGGGCTTACCTGTGTGGATATTTCAGGAGACAGTGTCAAAAATCTTCCTGAAGGCAGTGTAGACACCATGCACTGCTCTCTTCTCGTCTACCCAGCTAGTCATTCCATCACTGAAGGCAATCTGATTGGTCAAGTGGGATTGCCCCTTGGTCAATCTGTGCTGACTACTCCTGATAACCTTCTCCTCCATTTGCTTAATGATGACAACCAGAATGAGTCATTCCTTCATCTTTCCATGGATGGAGGTGTAACAGTGGCCTGTAGTTCACTGAGTCCTCCTTCTTGCACTTTTTGACAAAAAGTGACACTCTAGCTTTCTTTCTCTCCTCAGGTGCCTCTCCTGTACTCCATGACCTTTCAAAGATGAGGGAGTGTGGCTTAGGAGTAATGTCTGCAAGCTCCCATAGCCCTCATGGGTGCGTCCTATCAGGGGCCATATATTTGTGGGTGTAAAATTTGTTTAAGTGATCTCTAACTTGATCCTCCTTGACCGAGGGGAAGCCTTGCTTTCTCTATACTTTCTCTCTTGCCTCCAGGATCTGGGTTTCTGGGGCACTGGTCTTAAAAGTAAAGACTGAAGCAAAGCAGGTATTCAGTAGCTCCGCCTTCTCTGTATTCTTCATCACCATGGCACCTACTACGTTCTGCAGCAAACCCATGTTTTCCCTAGGCTTCTTTTTGCTACTGATGTTCTTGAAGAAACCCTTCTTGCTGTCTTTGACACCCCTTGTCGTATTCAATTCCAAATGGACCTAAATCTGTTACACCTTGATATAACATCTGTTGATGGTCATAAGAACATAAGAAAAGTTTATTACTTTTGATTAACTGTTTTCATTGATAGAACAGTTGAGACAGGATGTGAATGAAAGCATTTAAACTTTGAGGCAAGGCATTCACATTCTTTTCAGTTCTTGTGAATGCTTCTTTGTATTCTCTCTCATGGTATCCCTTGGTGTAGTAATTAGATTAGGCCAAATGTGGCCTAGCCAAAATTTGGCTAGCCTGCCAAATGTGGGTTTATAGGTTAGAAGGGACTGTGGTAGGAGTTGCTTCAATTTTTAAGTAAAACACTTTTTAAATGGAGACATGCTCTAGGCCTTGATATGACAGGCATTCATAAGCTGTTCATGAGGAGGAGTGGTTTGCCTTTACAATGTGTGAGTATCATTGTGCTAGAAGTTACCTACCCACGGCAAAAATACACTGAAGTTCTTGGGTTGATCTTCAGGATGTTGCAGTTGTTCAACCGTGACTTTATGTGGTAACCAGAGAGGTGAGAGTTTTCAGAGTTTTCAAACAGATGATACATAAGGTTTGCTGGTTGCCATTTTTCTATGAGAGGATTATGCAAACTACTTCTCTATGATGTTGAAAATTTGCAAATAAATGCATGGGATGAGGCAAAAGGAAAGAGCATTTTACTAGGTTTTTGATTTATTTAGTTTGTTACTATCTGCACATAATAAATCCACCAAGGCATGGTTTCCTTGATGGGATAGACCACCTCAGCCATCATTCTGTGTAAGTTTTAGGTTATCAATTTAGGCAACATGTAGCTCTGCCAATTCATTTCTGTCCTAACCTTCATTTCTGTTTTTGACCTCATCTCCTTTTTTTGTGGAAAATCCTGAGCATCTCTGAAGCAGAGCTGCATTCTGTAGAAGTCCTATTCATGTCAGGATATTTAGTCTCCCCTTCTGTCTAGCACTTGGGAACAGCTGCATCAAATTGGCCACTGTCCGGATTTTCACTGAGAGAGATTTTCCACATAAAATAGGAGGAGTTTCAGTTAGAGCAGCTGTTCAGGGAGGTTTCAGACAGCACTAGTGTTACACTTTTCCCTATTTCTACAGTACAGTGAACCTGTGCTTTTGATATTTGAACTAAAGTAGACCCTTGAAATTACTAATTCTGGTGCTCTGTGTCTTTTAGGAACCCCGTTTTGTTTTACTTTGCTGAAGGAGGGTGATGTCATTCAGTCCTTAACTAGCATAACACCACCTCTTACTGGCCATCTCAAAATGGGACCCAGGAGACACAGCACACCAATTGGTGAGTTTCACCCAAATGGCTCTGTTCTGCAATGAAAGCATGGAAGCTTTTGATTCTTGGTGCAGGGTATAATAGGATAACTCAAATGCTGCCTTGGCAAAAAAAAATTCCTGTTCTATGGAGAGGGCTTATCCCGTCCCCACAGTTTTCTTGTGTTTTCTGTCTCCAGCAAAGGTGTTTGCACCCTGTGCACAGGGTGGTATGGAGCATGTCTTCCTTGCACTCACTGTAGTCCTGTGTACAACTCCATTAAAGAATGTAAAAAAACCTTCTGAGTAGCAAAAGAGCTTAGACTACAAGAGGATTGCCTGCAGTATTCGTCTTTTATCAGGACTTTCTCTGCTAGATTCACAGAACAGCACCCTGCAAGTGTTAGATGGAAAGAAGTCTGTTCTGCTTGGGTGGTAGTAAATTATTTTGTCACAATCTAAGGATAATACATGTGCTACAGAATTTTCATGCTTCAGATCTCTAGGAAGGAATTTCCACTACTGCAGCAATACTAATGATGCATGCAGTGAAGTGTCTTGAAACCAAAACTAGGACCTCAACCCCAGAAATGTGAATGACAGTAGCTGCTTCTTGTTTCTTGTTTTTATTTTTCTGTTTTCAGTGGATGATACTTGCCCAGACAGCACTATAGCAACCAGTGATGTTACAGCAGAGGGCACAATGGGGACCAACAATGTCACTGTGGAAAGCGTGGTGGTATCAGCAGATGTGTCAGAAGTGTGTGAGAAAGGAGAGTCTGGTGTGGTTCCTGAGTCAGAGGCAAAACTTTCTCTGCGAATGAACCCTGTTACCCCTGTGAATGATGGGAGCGAGGAGTCCTTGCCATTCAGCTTGGAAAGTAAGAGGATGAAACCAGAAGTGTATGGGTCCTACTGGATCTCAGCCCTAACTCAGAACCTCTCTGTGGCATTCCCCAAGACAGAAGAATTACAGGGACTCAGAGATTCATTTTTCTTTTTGGGCAGTGTCACTTAAGTTTGTTTCTCTGTTTCTGCAATGCTTTAAGCAAGGCAAATGGTTTGGTTTGAAAGGGACCTTAGAGATCATCTAGTCCCGACACCCTCTGCCATGGGCAGGGACACCTTCCACTAGGCCAGGTTGCTCCAAGCCCCATCCAGCCTGGCCTTGGATACTTCCAGAGTTGGGGCAGGTTCTCTAGGAAGCATGTAAAAGTACATCACCCCCCTCACAGGGAAGAATTTCTTCCTAATATCTAATCTAAATCTCTGGTCCTTTAATTTAAAACTCTTTCCCCATGTCCTATTACTATCTACCCATAGAAAAAGTCTCTCCTTTTTTTTTTTTTTTTTTTTTTTAGCCCCCTTTTTAAGTACTGAAATGCCTCAATGAGGTGTCTCTGAAGCCTTCTCTTCTTCAGGCTGAACAAGCCCAGCTTTCTCAGCCTGTCTATAGGAGGGACTCTCCAGTCTTCCCATCATCTTCGTTGCTTCCTCTGGACTTGTCCATAATCTGGACAAAAAAGGTTTGACAGGATTTTAATCAGAACAGTGGCATTCAGTCTAATAGTCTAAAACTTGTAGAAACTTAGGTCTGTTCTGAGAATTTGGATGGGGAAGCCTCGGGCACCCTTTGTCCAGTGTTGCTTAGCTTCTCTTCACTGAGTGTGTGGGACTGGGAGAGGTCAGGAGAGTCTTTTTGGATGATGCCAAAATCATCCTTCCTTTCCTTCTTGTTTCAGAGCCTGCAGCCAGTGACAGGAAAGATGGATCCTCTGCTGCTGCTGAGGCTGCTGCCAGGTAACTGGGCTTCTTGCTGGGCAGAGTTGATACAAAGGTCTGGGTAGATCCTTTTTTCACACATTATCAGGCACAGGGAAAAAAAATAAATTAGAAGACAACACAGGAACAAGGAACATTTTAAAAGTAGATATGACATTAACTCTTCAGCTCTTGCAGCAGGTTTCAATTACATAGGCGAAGTGGGAACCCCACTTGTTTGTTCATTATGGGCTCTGTGGTTCCTACTAATGTCAGCATTTTGCCTCCCTCTGATTGTAGTCAAAGCCAGAAATTCATGTCCTGTGCAGTCCAGAATGCAAGTCTGCTTTGTCCCTCTTCTAAATTTCAAATATATGGGTTTCTGCTTTCTTTAATTGTGCAATTCTCTGCAAAGAATCTCTGAGAAGTTCTGAAGGAGAATTGTTTTTTTGGTATAAAGCTGATAGAAACATAATCAGTTTATGGATATACAGAAATCACAGGTTAACATGTTGACCAAAACATTGAGTTATTCCCTTAGTCTTTTGATTTGTACGTATCTATCTTACATCACGTTTAATGTCTAGTGTTGCTTGATTTAGCTTGCGGGAAGTAATGTTTGTAAGTACTAACAGAAATCTCAGTAGGAAGACAGTGACTTACAGTCACCTGAGTGAAGGATAGTGGTTTGAAGTGGTGAGAAAACTTAGGAATAAAGTCAGTATCTTCTTGTTACAGGACTGCTTGCTAGATGGTAATCATGCCTCAATGCTTAGGGTGAGTGATAGTCATTTCTCACTGGTTGAGGATGGGTTACCTTTGTAGGTACATGAACATGAACTCTCAGGGTCTACTTTATGACTGTCATTCCCAGTATTTTTGCAGTGTCATGAAATTCCTGAGAAGTAAGCCATAAGCGGTCTAACTGTGTCTCCTGGTGGGTACCAGAGGCAGTAGATGCTGAAACTCCTGATGGTGCTGCAGTTTTCCACACAACGTTTTCCGGAATTGTTCTATTGCTCTTGGCTATTAGGCTGTCTGCAGAAATTCAGAAATACCTGTGCAATTGCAGTTTCTTTCTTGATCTTTGAGACAGATCATCTTACTCATTGTGTGGCTGTAGGTTAATCAACTCAATGTTCTTTGTTCTTACAAGGAGCTAGAGAATTCTTGTTTTGCTGTATGAGGGTTTTCTCACTTCCTGATGCATTTTTGTTTGTTTGTTTGTTTGTTTTAAATCTGCACTGCTAGCTCCCAGAAAGCATCATCTGTGTTTAGTCATGTCTGTGAAGTTCATCGAGAGGATGAAACCAGAGGTCATGGTCTTTCCACTTCTTCATTTAGGTAACTCCTCACAGTCTTTGCCTGCCAGTCCTAGTTGGATTTATATCCCTATGTGTGTTTTCTACATCAAAGAAATTGCACTAAGCCATTTTCTTTGGGTGACTTAGAAGGTTGGGGACAATGGGTAAGTATACTAAATCTGTATGTTTGTGTCTCACATGGTTATCAGGCTTACCTTTTGACTGAGCAGCCATGTGGTTCCAGAAGACTGATGTGCTTCAGTGAAGTCTTGGGTTTGAGAAAATTGAGATAATTTTTAAGGCTGTTTAAATACCTTTTCTGTCTCCTCTTCTAAGATGTTCTGACCAGTTTTGTTTGTTGTTGCTGCTGCTATTGTCCCCCTTCCAAAGGACTGTACAGCTGCTTATGTTACAGTGATCAGGGTTCTGCCTGGAGAACTAGAAGTAAAAATCTGCTTCTTCAGTGTTTTCCACTCCATCTTTTGATAGGGACAGTGAGGTCTTGGTCTATGTAGAAAGAGTAACCTAAGTTTCAACAGTTGCATTAAAGACCATAATGAACGGGGAGTTCCAGCGCTGGGTGAGGCACAGCTAGAAGGGAAAACAGTCCATCCTCAAAGTCCTCAAGCACTCGAAGGAAGCCAAATACGTTCTTCTAGTTGGGCTCAGTATGGTGTCCCATGTAGTACCTGGCAGAGGAAGTACTTTTGGCAGAGAAGACACATTCTAATGAAAACATTAGACAGCATTTGTGTTCATGCTGCTACATGTGATTATCAGTTTCAAGCCAATCAAGCACTGGAGTGGAGCAGCCTGAAGTAACTTTCAAGTTGACATGCTTCTGGAAAGTTGCATAGTTGGTGCCTAATATGTGGAGTGTAGCAAGAAATTCTGTATTTCAAAAAGCACTTAGTTCTGTACAGTGTCATCCATACGTTTTACTACCCTGTGTATCGCTTGAGAAGTGTTGAAAGTTTTTTTTTATTATTTGAACTCTGAGTTCAGTGCAAGAAGCAATTGACTGACTGCCAAGGTGGGGGTTCTTTAATACTGCTTTCACTTGAGTGGCAGCATATAGGTTGTCTTGTTTTCTTAATCAATAGTTTTGATCTGTGTGTAACTGGTTTGCAGGGGGGATCTGTACATTTTTCCTGGCACACAGGAAGATGCTGAATTACGTACAAATCCCAGTGATTACCAGCAACAGAAGGCAGATGGCAGTGGTGGACAGATCCTAATTCCTCAGAGGATGCAGCAGGACTGCCATCAGCGATCTTCTTGTGCAGAGGATGGAGAGTCTCTGGAGATTGATGTTGTAAGCACTCAAGCAGAAGATGGGAGAAGAATGCAGAGAAAACAAAGTAAGGCTATTAAAATTGATCAGAGTCAAGAGAGGTGGAAAAACATCAAGAATAAAGGGATCCAAACTACAGAAGGTTGTCTTTTTACCCCAACAACTGTTACAACATCAACACAAACATCAGAAGAAATCTGTAGACAGGTGGAAATGGGAACCAGTATGTCTGGGCAAAGACCTGGGCAACAAGATGTGAACATTCAAACCGATGAGAGTGGGGAAAAGCTTGTCAACACCTCTGGAGATGACACAGACTCTTTGCATTGTCAGGTGGGATGAGGGCTGCCTGTATTTAACTGTTTTAGGACAGTAAAGTCTCCCTTCAGCCAGTAAATTCATTAACAGATGGTTCTGTTGAGAAAAGGCCAAGGACCACTTTAAAATGTTAATATCACAAGCTGTCCTTAATCAACTGCTAAAGTAGTAGTATCTGGTAGTTCACTGGGCAGCATAAATTTGGGAAGTAAATGTCCCCGTGTATATTTTCTGGAAAAATGTGACAAGTTTTGGTAGGTTGATTGATTGTTTTTGTTTGGGGTTGGGTTTTTTTTGGGTGCAGATATACTTAACACTGTAAAAACTTTCTCACTTTCTTCTGGCTGGAGATAGAAGTTGCACGAAATTTTGAATGAAGGGTTTGATGCTTTCTGTTTTGCATCAACCAACTTCTGATGGCTTTTTCTTTCCTTCCATCTGCTGTCAATGGGTAAACATATGAAGGGGGAACTCCTCCAGAGAAACATTCTAACAAGATGAATAACTTCAAATTAGTACTTTGTAAAGTACTGCAGACTCAAAAACCCTCACTGCTTGGCTGTTACAGTTTGTATATACTTTTTAGCAACAGAAAGACTAGAGAAATTATTTTTTTACTAAATCTGGTTTAAGACTAATGTGTCCTGTGGGAAATAGGAGATTAACAGGGCCATAAAAATACAGCAAGAGGGATGTGATATGTCTGAGAGTCCACTCGATCAAAGAGTATCAGAAACCATGCTAAACAAACTTGCTGTTTCCTCCATGGGCTGCTGTGATTTCCCTTCCTCTACTTGTCAGCAAAATGTGTTCAGTTCTCCTTTGTTTAAGTCACTTGTGTTGTTGCATTAATTTGTAACAAGATGCTTAAAGGTTCCCTACTCCCCTACTATAACATGGTAAGAAGAAACTGTACTGCAGAGGTAGCCCTACTCAGAAATAGTTTGCTTTTTTGTTGTGATCTGTTTTGTTTTTACTGTACCCTCTACTACAGGGAGAGGAGGAGTTTAACCTTCTTCACCCACCCAAAGGCCGAGTTCAGCATCGCCACATGCGAACCATTCGAGAAGTGCGCACTGTTGTTACCCGTGTTATAACAGATGTTTACTACATCAATGGTGCAGAGGTGGAACGAAAGGTAGTTGAGGTAAGTTCCTGTTTGTGGTTAAATGGAATGAGATATTGGCTGAAAAATACAAGTAGTTAAAGTGAGAGTGTGTTTTGGCTGCAGAAAACAAGTTGAATGAACAAATCCGTGTGCTGTGATGACAAGGCTTTCTTAATGAGCAAACTTGCAGGCCATTTAGTGAATGGCAAAGGCTGTGGTTTTGATGCTTGTATATTTCATGCCATGTGTTCTGAAGACACATTCAAGACCCAAAGAGCTCAACGAAAGACTTAACTATGTGCATCCAATTATTTTAAAAGTCTTGGAGTTTTGGCAGAATAGAAATATTTTAGAATGAGCAGAAATTCTATTAGTAAGCAGAAGTCACTTCTGCCTAAAAAGTTGAACTATGTAAGATAGTTTAGCCTGTTTCGCAGTTCAGTGTAATTTTTAACAGTCTTTTGAGTTCTGTGTACCAGATCCTGTAAGAGGTCTACAAAAATCAACTTAAAACTGAGGAACACAGCAGCCTTTTATTAGTACACCTGTATTGTAGTATGTACATTCATTAATTGGAAGGTCTTTAGGAAATCACAAAGAATAGCTGAGAAATGCTGATTTGACGGGCGCAGTAATCACATCAGCCTGCTAGCAATAACATGTTACCCTGTTCTATAAAGGTAAATAACCTGAGTCTTGTGCTGTGTAGTCACAGTGAGTAATGACATAATAAGATAAACTAGTTCAATGCTTTTACAGCTGATACTACACATGAAATTCCTTATTGTAACAGAAAAATGGAGAAGTCCTGAAATAGGCTTATGTAGTTTGTGTAATCACAATCATATAACCATTTCCATTTTATCCATCACTTGATATCACTGTTTTGTAGATACATGCTTTTTATATCCATAAAGCTTTAATAGCTCCAGATGACAAGCTGTCTGAAATTGATCTTGGATTATGAGTAATGAAAGGCTCCTAGTGTCTCATGTATTTGTTGCAGTCTTACACTCTGGAAGGGTGGGAATTATTCACCAAGCCAGACCAATTGGATACCAAGCCAAGCTTTGCCCTGTTGCTAAGGAAATTTCCCTGTCCAACCATCCAGGAAGCCACGCTGGCAGTCACAAGTGTACTGCCTGAGCTGGGACTGTCCCCTTCACAGTGGACAGCTCCAGTGAGCTGATGGGTGCCCTGCTTGAGTCCCTACACACCCCCACAGTCGCACAGTCAGATCAGGTCTCCTTTCTCACCAGCTGGACCCCAGGCTTCCCATGGCAGAGTCTCAGACATCTGGATCCTTAAAATAATTTAATCTGGTTGCAATAACTAAATAACAAAATAACAGTTTGAGCTGGTGCCTCCAAGGAGAGACCTCGAACAAAGGGCACCCCAGGCTTTTATACCCTTACAATCTAAGCTGGAGAAGTGTGGGGAAGTCTGAGGATCTTTTGTTCCTGCTGTGCCTCCAAGTGTCCAGGTCCCATAGCCTTTTGCCCGGGGCTCTTGCCCCACAGGAGTCAACATGCTGCTCCCACTTGCAGCCCTGCACTACCTGTACTGAATATATTCCTCAACACTTCTGACTGAGTTCTTAATGTGACTTCTTGATACAGAGCAGCTGCGGGCCTGTAGTGAGAGATGCACTATCTACCATGGATTAGCCCAGACTGAAGTCTGTATGGCTGTCATCAGCTTCATGAATGTGGTCTCAGCTTGTCTGCTTTTTGGACTGGTGATTTTAAAGCATCTGGCACTTGCATCATCTTAGACAAACCTCTTTTTGTTTCTTTTAAGGAAACTGAGGAGCCTGTAGTGGAGTGCCAGGAATGTGAGACTGATATGTCCTCTAGAACTGCAGGAGGCTCATCGCTGACCTCAGGGGACCTTGGTGATGTCAGCTCCTTCTCATCTAAGGCCTCAAGTCTCCACCGTACATCCAGTGGAGGGAGCAGTGGTCACTCTGCCACACACAGCAGCAGCAGCTCAGGGCGAGGAACTGGAGCTGTCAAAGGGAAAGTGTGTGGGACAAAAAGCAGAGAATTTGCTTTACCCATTGGTAGAGGCATCTTAGGAAAATTGAGGTAAGTGCAAAGTCTTGGGAAAAGAGGAAGAGATGTTTTGCAGGAATGAGCATCTGGCTTGTAAGTGTGAAGCAGGGTAGACCTAAATCAAGGGTTTTCTGAGAAAGATCTGGCTTGATGAACAGAAAATAAGGAAGGTTGTATTTGCTTTTGCATCTATTCTTCCTAAAGGAGTAGCTTGTTTCCTTGTGAGGCATTGCTTTGCAGTTTAGCAGCAAAGAGGCAGACTTCTGGGTATGTTGTGAGAGCATCAAGAAAATGGGAGTATCCTAGTGAGCTGGCTTCTCTTCTCAAAATGGTTAACTCATAAATTCTCTAGCCCTAGGAAAGGAACTGGGCAGCCTACATCACCACTCAGAGTTAGCCAGACAGGAGCACTGCTTTGTGAGGAAGAGGAGGACTGTATGCCTGGCACTCATCAGGGTGGCAGGGCACCTGTGACACTTCGTGGACGAGGAAGAAGAGGACGCCCGCCATCTCGAACGACAGGAACAAGGTACCCTGGAAAAATGAGACTGTAACTTTAATTTATTGCAAGAAAGAGAGTGGGAAACTTCTGTCTTAATGTCCTAGAGGAAAAGGAGTACTGAATATTTCAGAAGTTAGTTTTTAGTGATATCATATAGCAGCTGCAAGCACCTCACCCAAGTATTTTATACTTAGTAATTGTTTTTTTAGATCCCTCTTCTGGGAATGCTTTTTGTCTTTTTTTTTTCCTTCCCTATCTGGGACTGCTTTTTTCTACAGAGATTTAGCTGGACTGCCGGGTCTGGAGGATCTTTCAACTACAGCATCACCTGAGGAGAAATCATTTACTCGTTCAGTTCGACTGCCAGATGGAGGAGAGAAATCTGACACTTCTCGCTTCTGTGCCTTGCGTCGAAGTGACTCTCCAGAAATCCCATTACAAGGGGTGACTGCTCCTTCAGACTGTGCAGACTCATCCACTGGGAGCAGCTTTGTGGGCCTCAGGGTAGTAGCAAAGTGGTCCTCAAATGGGTACTTTTATTCTGGGATGATTACCCGAGATGTTGGAGCTGGAAAGTACAAGCTACTCTTTGATGATGGATATGAATGTGATGTGCTAGGAAAAGATATTTTGGTCTGTGATCCTATCCCACTGGAGACAGAGGTAACCGCACTCTCTGAAGACGAGTACTTCAGTGCAGGTAAGAGCAGTGCTTGAGTTTCATCCTTGGTTTTCTGAGTTGCTGTATGTAGTGGGAAATGGGTACTTGTTCCAGGAGGATGAGAAGCCTGAGTATGGCTGGCTAACAGCTATTACTTGCTGTCTTGTCAGGTGTGGTGAAGGGACACCGGAAGGAGTCTGGGGAGCTATACTATTGCATTGAAAAGGAAGGCCAGAGGAAGTGGTACAAACGAATGGCTGTTATCCTGTCTCTGGAACAAGGAAATAAGCTCCGGGAGCAGTTTGGGCTAGGTCCTTATGAACCTGTCACCCCCCTGACCAAAGCAGCTGACATCAGCCTTGGTAAGGAAAGGTGCTGTTGAGCTGAAAAGTGCTGACTGCTGTTCTGTGTCTTGTGCCTTTGAGGTAACTCAAGTACCTAATCTGAATTGCCAGTGTTTAAATGTTTCTGGATATTCAGTAATGTTTTTGATACTTTATAGTGAGATCTTTGAGATCCTTTTATTGTTCAGCGTCAGAGACTTAGTGGTGTTGACTGGCTTGTGGAAAGTGGTCAAGTGCTTCAAGGACAGTGATGCTTGCTGTACTTCCATACACTTGGTGGATAGCTGCTTTGATACAAAGTCCCAGCAGTACTGGGAGGAAAATAGACAAGCAGGATACAGGGCATGAGAAGAAAGATACATTTTTTTTTCTTGCTTTCCTCTGTCAGAGGTGGTGGTGTGTATCTTCTAGGTACTATGGAGTTCAGCCACTACTGTACAGATAGGTAGGTTGAAAGCTTGTGGAATTTGGTGACAACTCATGATATTATATATATTATTATATATATTATTATATATTATATATTATTATTATGGTTATATTGCAGATAATCTGGTGGAGGGGAAGAGGAAGCGACGTAGTAACCTTGGTTCTCCCAGCACTTCCAGCAGCAGCACAACTCCTACTCGTAAAGGGCAGGAGAGTCCACGTGTCCCACCAGCCTCCCTGTCTGGGAAAAGGAAACTTATTGCTTCCGAAGATGAGCGATCCCCAGCTAAACGTGGTCGCAAGTCAGCAGTAATAAAGCCTGGTGAGAACTTGAGTTCATCTAGTTTTTTCCTCCCTGCTTTTTCTGTAATTGATCTTTCCACTTTCCATAACTTAAAGGTAGATGAGATTGCTGGTTTTTTTTTTTTTTTGGTTCTGCATGATTTGAGACTGATTCTCCTGGGATGCATTCAGCAGCCAGAGATATTTTTAGTATAGTCTAAGTATTTACTTGCCATCTTTCCAGTTGTGCTTTTTAGAAATGTTTTGACTTTAATATTGTGATTTGTCTCTCTCCTTTCTTAACTCTTTAGTCAGTCCTGAAAGCTGTTAAAGGGACCCCTCAGCAGTCAGTGTTGTTTCAGGATGTTGATAAGACTTGCAAACTTGTCCCATTAATGTTTTAATTTGAAGATTCTTTGCAACCAAAAGAATAAAAGATCCCTACCTAGCCTAGTGTCATCCTAGCCCAATCCTGCCTCTGTGTCTCCTGCAATAAAATAGTGAGTCGAACAGATTCCCCAGGTACAACATACATTTGAAGACTTATGGCGCTTCTCTCTCTCTGCAGGGGCTCTGAGAGGTGGAGAGTTTGTAAGCACCTGTGAAGGTGTAGATTCTGCAGATCCCCCAGTACTGAAGGGCGACCATGGACCCTTACCCCACAATAAGACCCTCTTTTTGGGCTATGCCTTTCTTCTCACCATGGCAACACCAAGTGACAAATTGGTCAATCACCAGAAGCCATCAGATGGTCCCACTGGGAGCAGTGAGGAGGAAGAAGGTGAGGCAAATCTTACCCATTGCATTTTCAAGTGAAATGCTGTGTCTTTAGGAAAAATGCTGGATACTGTCTGATCAGACATTTGTGTGAGTACTTGTTTACCCTTTTACTCTTTAATCCTTTGCAGAAAGGACCTAAGACTCAGTCTGACTTAGCCAACTTGTGGCCTAAGATGTGACAAACCTCAGTGATGATCATAGGCCTGTTCAGCAAGCTAAGAAAGGTGTGAAAATTAGTGAGATCAGCATTGTCAGAATAGTATAATGTAAGAAGGAAAGTTTTGAGAGATAAGGGATAGTGCTGGTGAGCTTAGAACTTGAAAGCATGTATGGATTACTCCAGTTAGCCTGTGCTGGTGTCATGTTTCATGCAGTCAAAGAAGTGACAAGGTGCTCACCTGGCTTATGGTGTGCTGCTCTCTCTGGTGTCCCCCACACCCCTTTCTTTTTTTCTTTTTCTTTTTTTATTTTTTTACTCTTTCAGTGATTTTCTCTAGATATTTCTGGGAGAATATCTTGGCTGGGATCCCTTATTGGAATGGATGAGGGCTTTGTAGACTGTGGTATAAGAACATAAGCAGATAGATTATAGTTGAAAATCGAACTTTCTTCTAGATTTTTTAGAGATGACTCCGTATGATAAACATTACATAGCAAAACAGCTGCGAGCAGGAGCTGGCTATATCCTGGAAGACTTCAATGAAACCCAGGTAAGGGTTCACCTACTAATCTAGAAAAACAGTCACAGAATAGTTGAGATTAGAAGGAATTTCTATAGTTTATCTTGTCCAACTGCTCTGCTTAAAGTGGGTTCAAATAGAGCAGATTGCTTAGCTCCTTGTTTAATTTTGTTTCCAGTTTCATCAAGGATGGAAACACCAGAGCCTCTCTGGGCAGCTTGATCCTGTTAGGGAAAAAAAAAAAGGGAATTTCTTGTATTTCAGTTTGTAACTGTTGCTTCTTGTCCTTTGAGTGGATAACACTGAGAAGAGCCTGGCTGCATCTTTTGTACACCCTCGTTTCAGCCATGAATATGCATTAAAAAGACCACACAAGCTTTTCTCTTTTTGATCTTAACAAAGTCAGCTCTCTCAGCCTCTTCTGATATGTCAGGTGCTGACACAGTGGTCCTTGGCTCTAGCATGTCTGGTGTTTTTGGTATACTACAGAGCCTGGGAGTGGATGAAGCACTCCAGATGTGGTCTTGGCACAGGCGTGTGCCTTGGAACACTTAGAGGTAGAGCTCTTCACTTACCAGATCTACTTGGACAACACTGTAATTTAGTGTGGCTTTTTCTTAAATTTTCTTTCTTTTTTTTTTTAAATAAAGAGGGTAAATTGCTTTAGGAACATCTTGCTTGAGGAAGCAATCTTGTCTAGTGATTTATCGAGTCTCAGGTAAATCATCTCTTTTGTCTGAACTGGAAGAGAGCAGTTATACAATGACTGAGATAGCAGTGATACAAAAACTACTGGGCACAGTTTTTGCCTGCGAACTGCAAAGCTTGGAATATAATAGGATATTATGAAACAGATTCTGAAATCAGTACTACCTTTATTTAATTCACCTTTCACATAATATGGCAGTGAAAATCAGGGTTTCAGTTGTTTTCTTCTTTAAACTGTTTAGCAGCAGGATAATTTCGGGTTTTTTTTTGCAAGCATTGTTTCCCGTTTACATGCCTTGTTTTCTCCCCCGAAGTGTAATGCAGCATACCAGTGTCTTCTAATTGCGGACCAGCATTGTCGAACTCGGAAATACTTGCTGTGCCTTGCCAGAGGGATCCCTTGTGTGTCTCATATCTGGGTCCATGATAGCTGTCATGCTAACCAGCTTCAGAATTATCGGAATTACCTTTTGCCAGCTGGATATAGCCTCCAGGAGCAGAAATTGCTAGAATGGTGAGTGCCAAATAATCATGATCTGAGTCTACAGACTCTTGGAGAGACCAGTTACACGTGGGAGGCCCTTGAATAGCTACTAATACTGAAGGTGACCCAAGTACTGCTCCCTTTACTTTCCTTTCCATATAGGAACAGCACTTCCATCTCTTTCCTTGGACTTACAATGACCTGTAATGCCAAGGTATATTTGAGTGCCATATACACAAAAAACAGAATCTTCTTGGGAGTAAGGAAGGCATCAGTCTTCTCATGAGGAAGACAGAATTCAGACAAGGCTTCCTACACCCTTGGCTAAATTCTCTAATTGCTCAGAAATGGATAAAGGAGAGCAATACTATGTTAATTTCCTTTTCCCTTGGTACATTTTGAAGTTAGTTTCTGCATTTTCTATGGACTTCTAATCCAGAAAGTCTGTTTTGAGATGACAGAGGAAGTCAGACTCCTTAGGCAAGCTGAGGGGCAGATACAAATTTGTAGATAGTTGTAGGCTTTTGGGCAGGAGACTGATGTCTTCTGCTCAGCTCTGTCAAAGTGGAAGCAATTTGGATGTGCACAAAAAAGGTGGTTGTGGTTCAGGATTAGGGAAGAGTTCAGCTTAACTTTGGATATAGGCTGCTGTGCACACACCTCACCAACACTATCTAGCTACATTTTATGCCCTATGAGCAAAGGATAGTCACTCCAAGTACTTCAGGGAGGGTGGTAAGAGAGTGGGTCATTGAATGCAAGATATTCAAAAAACAATACATGGGAGCAAATCAGGTGACTAGACTACTAGATATACTTACCAGTCTGCATTTCTCTTAACTCTACAGGCACCCACGAGAAAACCCATTCCATAACCTGAAGGTTCTCCTGGTGTCAGACCAGCAAGAGAACTTCCTGGATCTGTGGTCTGAAATTCTCATGACAGGGGGAGCAGCATCTGTTAAACAGCATTACTCAGATGATCACAACAAAGGTACTCATTGGCCCGTTTCTCAGGGAATGCTATGCCACTGTGGTCTTTAGTATTGTCTAAAACCATGTGGGATGATTTACAAGGTTTCTCTCAGCAAAAAGGAAGGCAAGGGCAGACACTTGGTACTTGAATGTAATCTGTATATAGATTGCATCTAGGAGACCTATCTTGCAAAGGAGATGCTGCAGCAATTCAGAACATAAGACATCAGTTTCCAGCCTATGTTGAAAGGGGGAAATAGACAAGAGTTGCTCCTGCACCTTCTATTGATCTCTCAAATTGTGTTTCCGTTGTCCTTCTGAACTTGGCTGTCTCTTCCTCTCCATATGCAATGTAGGCCCTAGGACTTAGAGCCTGAGGTCAGGACTCAGGGTCATGCCTATACTGTTGGCTACTGGTTTTCTCCTAATTTTCATCTGGACTAGAAGGCATATTTTCTTGTGAGCTGCAGGGTTGCTGTAGGGTGTGTCTTAACTTTTACAATGAGAATTCATCGTCTAGGAATGAGAAGACCTAAGAGTGATTCATAGTGGTGAAACACACTGATCTGCCAGGCTGGATGGGGCTTGGAGCAACCTGGTCCAGTGGAAGGTGTCCCTATTCATGTTAGGGGGTGGAATGAGATGAGCTTTAAGGTCCCTCTGAAAGCAAATAATTTAGCATTCCGTGCTTCTGTGTTCTGCTGCAGAGCAGAATCCTCTTTCTTCACCTGACAGATGCCTGTTTTTCCTCCTGTACAGATCTTGCTTTGGGTGTTTATGATGTGGTGGTGACTGATTTTTCCTGCCCAGCTGGCATCTTGAAGTGTGCAGAAGCTTTACGGCTGCCTGTTGTCTCACAAGAGTGGGTGATCCAGAGCCTTATTGCTGGGGAAAGAGTAGGCTACAAGCAGCATCCAAAATATAAACATGACTGTGTCTCTCACTGAATGAAACTCTGTCCTGCTGTTCAACTGTCATGCAGACTGTTTTAAACAGGTTTTAAATGTTTGTGAATTGGGCAGTATGCATGGATTATTGTATATAGTTTTATCTGCTGGACTTTTATGATTAAATAAATGTTTGATCTCTTGTGGTATGTGCTGCTACTCCTCATTATATAAACTTATTCCAGGGCAATGCCTTTAGGAAAGGAGTGCAGAGAAAAAAATAAATGCTTTCATTTCTCTGAGCTGAATAGCACTAATATTTGGCTGTGAGTAAAGCGTGAGCTCAACACAAAGTCAGTTACAGAGGAAGGGGTGTTTTCCATTGGCAGAAGTTCAGGGCAGTGGTATTTCTGTTTGTTGGAAGAATACCATGTTGTGTATTCCTCCGGTTTGCTGTTATTTCAATTAATTTCATTAAGGTGCTGCTGAAGTCAGTGTTTTGAATTTCTTGGACAAGTGTAATTTTGTTTTGGCTACCTCTTTTTTTTCTCTATCATAACTATATAGCTATTAACCTGTGTTAGTGGAGACAAGCTGTACCTAACTAGAGATAGACACAGCCTTGGACAACTAAACTGCTGGGAGACTGAGGTACAAAGAGTGTGTTAAGTGCTGTCTATCTTTAAATGGTAATGGGATAAATCATCTGCTTCTGAGCTTCTGCATTCACATCTTAGTATTCAGACAGCATAAAGGCAAAAGCTCTTCACTCAAAAAGTGCTCTAGGCTGAAGGCCTTCCTCCATCCTCATACAGTCTTTAGTCCCTTGCTTTAAAAGTGTGAAATTTTTCTCAATGTGTATTTTTTCCTCTATCATTTCATGGCTCAGGCATTTCACTGTGTTGGTCTGTAAATCTCACATCCAAACTTCAACACTTTCTAGCTTTTTCCATGGTCAAGGGCTTTTAAACTTTGCATCAGGCACAGTCCTACCATAAACAGCTGAAATGTGTGGAAGGTGCCCAGTCTTGTACTTGCTGGCTGTTGTTACTGTGTCTTTCTGAGTGAGCAGAGATGATTTTTTCCCCCCAAGGACATGTAATTTCAGTGTGAGCTGTGTGCAAATACCAACCCTTTCAGCAGGAGGCTGGTTTCCTGGCAGCATTTTTATTCAAATTGGGAAACCTGATACAACACCCCAGTGACGGACTGGCATGTCTCTATTGCCAGTCATTCAAATGGACTTGCATCAAGATGGTCTGTTTGTTACAGCAAGGCTAGGAAATCTTAGTAATGGGCAAGAAGTCCCTGCCAGATACCACTCTTCAGTAACAGACAAGGCCATGCCATGCTCCTCCCTTTGCAGCAGGGTGCAGACATTGACAATACTCCATATAATTGCATGACAAGATATTTTTATTTGGCTTCAGTAGCATACTCACTAGTAGCATTCTAAATAGTCTGGAATGAGAACAGCACAGGTGAACATCCCAGGTAAGCATCTCCTTACCATTTTTCTGCCCGCAGAGGCTGCTTTTTACTCAACTAGGGCAAAGCTCCTGTCTTGGCAAGTGTAATTTTAGTACATAAACTGTATTAAATTGTATAGAGAAAGCATGTGATTTCAATAGTGTCTCCATGACCTATACACATATACTAGAGTAGTGCATTGAATGAAAAGAGATTTAAAAAATCTATTTCTTCTTCTCTCCCCCTTCACCTCAATAGAAAATTGCTACCGCAGTTTCATTTTCCTGGTGGTATTTGATTAGCAGACATTGTGTACTGTTTATCAGCTTACTACACAAGTGGAACTTCTGAATACAGCCAAAACTTCTTTCATAGTCATAAACAAGATTACTTCCTCCATACTTGAACTTGAAGTGGAACATAATCCAGCTGAAGAGTCCAGACATCATAATTCTGTTTTTTTCACTTTCTGAAGAGGTTCAGATTGCCTGTCCCCGGAAACACTTATCAATATATGCAGGGCTGCAGAAAGCGTATTTTTAATGAGTTCAGAAGAAATGGAATAGCCTTCTGTAATCACTAGGCAGCCTCACTTAAGTGGCAATTCCTGCCCATTCCCTCTGAAACAGTAGTTCACCAGGCAAAAGCCAGCTACAAAGAAAAATTCATGTGAGTGTAAACTCTCCAACTGTCCAAGAGCACCAGTGCTTGACACATCACTAGTTACAGCCTGAAGGAAAGGTCTTCAGCGCTTAAACACCAAAACTGGAAGAGAATGGTACAATATTAACTACATGTTGAAAGTAACTCTCTTTACCAACCCACAGCAGCAGTTGTTTGCCAGTATGAACTAGCAGCTTGTTCAACTTTCTGCCAAAAGAAACTCAATGGGGAGAAAGCATATGAAGCCCAAAAATTACTGTATGCTGATTTGTTACTTTTATGTCATATTATTTATCAACATATAATAATGTTTGGTGTAAGCCAAAATAATTAGAAGCAATCAATAAAAAATGGCTTTATACTTCAAGTACCTCAAGATATGCTACACGCAACCCTCATGATATTCCTACCTGCCCAAGGTTCCTCCAGCCTGGGTGTAGTATTTGTTATAATCCAAGCGTAGCAGCAGTTGAGCTAGGTCAGAGTTTATCTGATGATTGCGAACACTAGAGAGAATCTTGAAGAGAAGCGATGACTGACGACTGAATCCCTATAAATTTGAAGATGTCAGTTCTGGGCCTTCTCAGAAGAGAAGGAAAGCAAGCATCTCATCTCTGTTTCTGACAACCCAGTCCTTTAAGAGCCTGAAGAAAAGAATCACTGCAAGAGATGTGATGCTTGTGGTCCAGGATAAGGTAAGCTGTGAGCCACAAGAATTCCTAGGTGTTAGTTATCCAAAAGGAGGGGTAGAGGTACCAGCCTCTGCCTCCTTTCTATTTCTGTGCACAAAGAATTTCCAACTCATAAAGAGTTCATTAGTTAAAAGAATTACAAGCACTTACATAGAAAGTCTTGGCTTGCACTCTTGTTCTATAGCTGTTACAGCCAAGATAATTGCTTAGGCAAATAGGTTTAAAACCTGCTTAGGTTTGCATGGGAGGAGAACAGATCTACAGAAACACAGATTCACCTTCACCAAAATACTGAGTTGTGCAGCTCCCCGTTCATCTAATGGGCCCAGATTCTGACTGACCAGAGAACAAAAACTATGACAAAGATCCAGAATTTCATTTAAACAATGGAAAACCTACATGGGATAAAAAGAACAAATTAGTAGTTGAAACAGAGTTCAAACACAAGAGAGAAAGCAGGTACCTGAAAAATTGTAGCATTCATAACAAAGATGTTGCTGATACTGGTAGCATTCATAACAAAGATGTTGCTGATACTGTATTTTTAGTCAGGAACAAAGATACTGATGTAGCATTTTTTAAAATGTTTTCTAAGGAAAAAGGATTTAAATGTTATGCTGTATCTCCCCTCTACCCCTCCCACAATCTTTAGCAGACATTTCTGAACCATCCAGAGAGGCACCAGACATTTCTGAACCATCCAGAGAGGCACAGGAGTTACACACTGGCTTCTCTATCCAACCAGCAGGTCATCACTGCAGCTTTGGGATTAAGAAAGCAGGATAAAGACCAATAAGAGCTATGGTTCATCAAGGCTTTGGTTTCACTGTTCACTAAACTTGGAATTTCTTTTGTATCAGTTGATCTGACTGGATAATTACTATTCTGACACCCTTACTCTACAAAATAAATGAGCACAGAGACACTGTGTTTCACTGAAACTAACCTTGGCAAATGTTTTTGCGATGCTGTTTATAAAAGTACTTATGTTTTGTTTAGTTGGTTTTTTTTAATTAACAAAATTAGAAAGACCCTAAGTCCACTTGGGAATATCTCAACTATTTTTTTTTCTCTTAAGGAGAAGAGGGAATTTTCCCTAGTCTAAAGCATATCAATATGAATCACTCAGGAATACAGTTCCCAGCACTATGCTCATTAGTACTTTAATAAAATAGCCTGTGATAAAAAGACAGCAATAAAATACAAGTTATTAAGGTTAACTGAACACTGAAATAAGCTTGACTTAGATTTGCCAGGAATGCAGCATTCACACTCACCAGCTGTAAATTAGATGCTCTTAATTCAATTATCAGTTATAATTTATAGCTGCCTTACTCCTAGAATTGTAGTCTGCAGGAGATTATCACTGATCTGTTTTAAAAGATGTGATTTGTCGTATCTTTTCAAAAACGTGTGTTTTTTAGAGCACTTGGAGACTTAGTAGAAAAAGGTGAAAACAAGATCTACTTACGGGTTTTAGGAGGATAAAAGATTGAGCCAACAAATTACTTAGGAAATGATCATGAGCCAATCGTATACTCTCAAAATCTCTTGTGGCATTTATCTGCTGCAGAAGCTGTGAGAACTGAGACTCCAGTACATCTACCTGATGAATATGAGAAGAAATGTCATTAGTGATTGGAGGATTTGGGAATTATTCAGACCAGCCAAAAGTTTTGAATAAGAAACTTTCCTTATTGCTACTCTTATGTTAGAGGCTGAGGATCCTCTTCTCTCTGGCTGATGAATGGGGACTTATATTACATAATGTGCAGTATGCAACAATTTTTGATGCCTAAGTAATATCTATGTAGAAAGGGAAATTATAATTTTCTTTAACTATGAAAAGGTATAGAGCTAGCATGTAAACAAAGGTATTTGATTGTAGTAATTTCTGAATTTTATTTGGAGAGATACTATTTCGAATCTTAGGGCAAAGGCTGCAGTACAAAAGCTCAGCCAGATCACTGTGGAGAATTTAGAAATCCAACCTCTTCTCAATTCTTTAAAAAACAAAGCAAACAAAAAAGCCTAAAACTTAACTCAGAGTTTACTTAAAGAGGCCAGAGAAGGAACCAGGATGGTATAGTAATGATGATCCTTCAGACATGGCTGGTTTCTCACAGACATTTAGTAGCATTAGAGAACTACTACAGAACTTCTCCGTTTCACTGATACTCAAGTCCAAAAGCTTTGTAATTGTAGCAGGAGTCTGGGAACTTGTAGGTAGCTCTAGACTTGCGAAGGAAATCCTGATTTCCTTAAGGTACAAGGAATCAGAAAGCTGAGATGGGTCTTCAGTGCATTTCTGCCAGTTTCTGATTAACTGATACAGTTTATCTTTCTCTGTAATACTGACCTGCAGATAATACTGAAGATTGTCCACAAGGAAAGCCATGTGATCCCTCAGACGCCACTTGATGGCATCTGTTCTGTTAGATTTCAGGTGTTTGCGTTGCATCTGGAGAGCCCAGCAGTGCTGTAGCTCAGCCTGGACTCGTCGCACACTCAGCAGGTATTTGAACACAACATTGTACCTACAATCAAAAAATACAAAGTTGGTTAAGACTAAAATCTTTCTCTGCTGCAGCTACTGGAGAATGTAACTATGCAGGACTGGAAAAAGAAACAGGAGGTGACAGCCAATAGTTAGGACAAATGAGGTCATGGCCCAGGTGCCCCATGGCACCTCTTTGCAGAGTAAGATTTCTCCTTGTATTGATTACTGATGTAAAAAATACGAAGTTAGTTTCAGTGTAAGGAGGGGAGCTGTCAATGAAAACACTGCTTGTTAAAGCAGTGCTGTTTGTAAATCAGTGCATACCTGCCAGCATCTTGCAGGTCTTACTGTCATTACAAGTACTTTCAATATGAGTAAGTGGAATGAGGGATTTTAATGTTCAGGGAGAAATAGCTCTACCTTTCTCTCCATAGAGAGGAAAAACACCCCAACACATTAGTTGAATACCTCATATCAGGGAACATACAGATGAATATAGAATGACCATACCTAGTACTTACTTCTCGAGAACAGCAGGAGTAAAAAGAATGTGCAGTGGCCATTGAACTTTATAAGAAAGTCCCAGAGCTGCCCATCCAGATGTGGGGGCTTCACGTGGGGATAATTCCCGGGAAGGCCCTTCACGAGTCTGAGAAGTATCTAAAAACAAGTAAGGTGCTGAATTACTTTATCTTCTCAGTCAGTGCAACCATGGCAAGAAAGAAAAGGGAGAATTAAGAAGAACCAAAGTAGTCTAGGCCATCACATAGGGCAGTAAAGTTAACAAAATTAGTATTTAACTTGAGAGAGGGGTAAGTAATCGATTTGAAAACAGGGTCATCAACTCCCCTCTTAATTTACTTCTAAAATTGCAAGTAGATACCTTTATGTTCCTTTCCATGATACTCAATGGTTAAGTGAAGAAGAGGAAGAAGGTTGTCATCATCTAACAGCACCTTATGAGCAGACTGCTGAAATGCAATGTTGACATCTGACAACAAGAGAACCCATATCAGCACAAGATGATGCAGCTAGTACTAATTTTGCACCCATTAATTACTTACTCTTGGTCCTAAAAGACAACAATGATCCATTATTGACACTCTTTTAATTCCACTTTTAAGTACCTACCATCAGAAGGTTTCTCAGATTGTTTTCACTCACTCTGTGAGACATTCTCTTTCACAAGTGCTGTAGTTTCAAAACTAATGACATAATGTAGAGAGTTAAGATAGAACTCTTCTGTACTGGACATGGCTTACCACTTCCCTGCTGTACCACAATGAGGACAGTTTAGTAAGCAAATAAGCAACACTCACCATGTTCAGTTACAGCTGTAGGTGGTGTCTTTAACATGTGCTGTGCAGTGTCAATGAAGGCCTGAAACAGCTCACCTCTTCCCAAAAGGTAAAAGTCTTTTATAATCTGTGGAGATAAAATTTTTTGTACCTAACATACCAAAAACTGAGCAGAAATTTTAAGTGTCCGTTTTTATTATCTGAACATTTTTATTACCTGGACAACTGCTGTTTCTAAACAGCTGGAAAGCTCTGAATCTCATTCACTGACCAAAAAGTCTACACTGCCTTTGCTTCCAGAGGCAAACTACAAAACCACATACACATACCCCTCTAACTCTGTCTCTGAACAAGTTCTATCAGTGTATGCTCATTCTTGAGATTGGAAAATGAAAACAGATTTACCTTAGTGAAGTAAGCCCAGAGAGTAAGGCAATAAAGTATTTTATAGAAAGAAAGAAGAGAAGAAAGGGAAGAAAGAGCTGCTTTAGCAAAAATGAACTAGCAATTGCATTACCTTCAGTTGTCCTAGTAGATCTGATTCCTCCACCATCAGTTTCCAAAGATGCTAGTGAAGAAACAAAAATCAAATGAAACAACAGCAACCTCCACTCAGAATTATCTCACCCATTCAGAGAGAAGAGTAGCTGCTGTCTTAAAACATTTGTGATACATACAAAAAGAGCATCTGTACAAAATGCTATATAAAGTACAAGAGAACACAGTGCACAGTGACAGTCCTGTGTAGCAGTCCATGCTACCGGCTAAAATTCTTGATATGTACTGGCAAAAAACTCTGCCTAAGAAATCTAAAGACCTGGGAGCAAAAAAAAAAGTGCAAACTCCTACGAAATCAGTTCTACCCCAATTTTGTTCTCTAACCTCCCCATTTTCTTAAGTTTTCCTCCCTGCCCCAAGTAAAAAAAAAAAAGATGAAAAACTGCCAAAGCATGTGCTCAGTGAGATGCTATCTACTATACTGAAAGCAAATGAGAACTTCTGAAGTCACTTCAAGTGAAATAAAAAAAATATACAAAAATTCCCCTTCTTTCCCTTATAGAAGACGGTAGTATTCGTTAATGTCCTTTTGTCATTAGAAGTTGGGTTTACATGAAGCTCTGAGACCAGTTAGAACAGATGCACTGTTCACATTTGTTCAATCACTGGCACTGATGAGCCCCCTTCTTCCAAGTCCTTCACAAAACTTAAGAGCTCCTCAGCCTGCATAGTAGTTACCCCTCATAGGATGCTCACCTCAGCAACAGTGCTCCGTATCCAGTCAACCACTGATTCAAAGTCCACCAAACTAAAAAGTGGCTGCTGCTTGAGTCGATGTAGCTCTGCTGCAAAAGTGTCCTCCTGGTTTTTTAGGATGGAGCCTGTGCAGCAATGAGAAGAGTTTCAGAGAGTAAAAAGGGATGCCATTTGGAGACGTGCAGACCTCTTCCAACACAATGGAACAGAAAGGCTGTCCAGGCAGCACTATCTCAGGTCTGGCAAGGAGCACGAAGAGGAGTCTTCAAAGTACAACTATCAAGCTATAAGATTTCTACTGCAAGTACAGTTGCGATATAGACACTTGCCAGGGCAGTGCTGTGGTATCAGTAAATTCCCCACCAATATTTTCTACATAAACGGTTGCTGCTTAAAGCCCTTTTTCTAGGACAGAGCTAGATCTTAGAACCCACAAACTTTTCTGCCACATTAACCAGTTGGTTTGGGTCTCCACATACCACTGCCCCTTTCAATTTTTTCCTACTGCTTGAACTTGGGGGCTTCGTTTCTTTCAACTGAGCTAGAAGACCAATTTCTTTTCCCCTTGCTTCTGCTACTGCAAGAAAACAGTCCAACTGAATTGGTCCTTTGTTCTCTATAATGTCGCTCAAGTAATTTAAGTACTTTTGCATAGACATGCTCAAAGTATAGCCACCACAGCCATATACCTCTCCCATTGGTATAGGAATATATTTCCCAAACCTCCCGCAATGTAAACTTTCCAAGCTGTCAAAGTGAACCATCATCTAGAATTTTCTCTCCCTTGCTGTCTTTAAGGCTCCATATAATTTGTCTTTCACAACAACTTTGGGACCATCTTGCAAGTTAATATATCGTGTTTGTGGATGCAAGTTAATCCCATGACACCATTCTGCAAGATACACACTTAGAGCAAGATGTGTGTGACTTTGTGTCTGTCTGAAGCCTTTAGGGAGAGGGATGCAAACTGAAAAGAAAACAAGGCCTTTGCAATCGCTTTATCCAGAGCAAATCACATGGTGACTTGCTGCTGGAAACTTGGAGACTATGTTTGAAAAGTGTTACTTACACATCCTGTTCTTACACCTCTCCCTTGGAACCAGTCAGAAGCAGAACACTGGGACTACTGCTCTGTCCTGGCACAACTATCCATATAGTCTGAAGAATAACAGCCAGTAGTCACTGACTGTTGAGGAATTCATTAATGTAGCATTTTGGAAACTATATGTCAGTCACTCATAACTGAGCAAAGGCTGTGAGGAAAGATATTCCTTACCTTTTCTGGTCAGGTTAACATTCTGATTCTCAAACATCTGGACAGATTCTCCCACAAAGAGGATTTTCTCGGCAACCCGTACAGGAATGTATGAAGGCAGCATTTCTATTCTCAAAGAAAACTGCTTTAGAGATGGAGCTAACATGTTCTCCTCCTCAATCAAGCGCTGCCAGAGACACCAGAGAAAAGAAATCAAGTGCAAAACAGTGTCAGAAAACCAGTCAGAAAAGGTGTATAAAGGTGTGTGTGTGTGTGTGAGGGGACATCTAAGAACATTGGAAGTAAGCAGAAAGGTAGCAGAACTGATTTGTATCATTTAAGTAAGCCAGTAAACTTTCTTATGCTTCTGGTATGCTAGCAGATCTCCCTAGAGATCAGAGTGGAGCAGAAGGAGAAAAAGAAGCAAAGCCTTTGTTGAACAGTGATAAATAAGCTGTATTAAAGGACTATGCTACATAAGCAAAAGGATTTTTATTGCAAATGCATTACATCAATTCTTGGCTGCCATAACACTGTTAACTAGCATTACCAAAAATAATCCTCCCCTACACTCATTCCTATGTTTTCACACTTGCGATACAGGCCAAATATAAACACCTCCACTAGTGAGAAAATAGAATAAAGATCCAAGGGCTTGCTAGCAAAGATAAGACAATTTTCTCAGTACCTGTGAAAGCTTTTTTAGAACAATACAGTGAGTTACTAATTTTTTTTCTGAATTTTAATAAGGAGCTCCCAAGTATGGAGGCAAGATTTTCCTTCACAAATTTAATATTGATAATTCCATCTGGCTTTCTTCTTGCTGGAGAATTAGTTTCAGTGGTCCGTAATCCAGAAAAAATTGCCCAAACAAAGTTTTGAGAATGCCATCTACAAAATTCTTCATTTCAATAGAAGAGTTGAGTACAAATTGGTATAATACTGATATTAACAGGTTGGCAATTATTTTCTTAAGATTCTAGCAATACTTTTAGATGAGGCAGTATCCAAGTATTTTATTGGTCTATCCCACTAAAACTCAAGAGTTCTTATTTTACTCTTTGACTGAAGAATTGCCAACACTGTTAAGTCAATACTGAAGAAAGAAGTTGCTTAGTCTACAGTTTCCACCATGGACCCAGAAGACTCAACAATATTCACTTTCTTTATCCAATATAGCGAAATAACAAATTTTTCCACTAACTGCCTTTTAAAAGTTTTCCCCTGTTTTTCTCTGGGTGTAGTCTGTTTTCAGTAGAGACTGATGGCACAGGGCACTTAATTAGTATGCAACACAGAGTTTCTGTGTGGTCACAGCCAAGCTGCATGCACCACACTAACTCTGTAGGTGCCTATGGAATGTTTTCTTTCCACAAACTAGAGGGTGAGTTTAGAGTTGAAGCTGTTCCACACTGTTCTCTAGTCAGGCACTATTCAAATATTCAGCATGGAAGACTACTCCACTGAGAAAACTGCTTTGCAAAAGGGAACTCTAATGGTATAGCATCTACAGGAAGAGCTACCACATTTCACCAGTGTGCTGGCAGGTTGCTTCCTTGCTTAGCAGTCCCTTGACTCTCACATAACACATTTTGTATCAGTAATGTCAGTTGCATTAACCTGTTAGGCAACATTCGCACAACTAATGGTTGTGCAAGAAAGGCACCTGACCCAGCTGCCCAAAGAAAGTGTGCAAATCAAGTCAACAGCCAAATTCCCCACACCCTGTTCCTTGCAATTGCTCACACTACCAGCAATGTCTATGTTAAACAGATCACACTGTTGACCATAAGAAATGAGAAAACAGTCAGTTAAGAACAGCGGGCATGCAGAAGTTCCCATTACTTGACATCAGCATATACACAGATTTCATCCATAGGGCTTTTTGCCCTGGGGTTATCCAACTGTGCCAAACAATAGGTCTCTGTCCCTTATGCCTAGCAGCAACCTATTACAGTATTACTTCAATTAACTATCTTAGTAGGTTTCACTGTATGTATAGTCTAGTATAGCTCACACTGAAGCAGAATACAATACACTTCTTTAGTTCCCTAGAGACAAAAGATGCCAAGTTACGACTCGTAGATCTTACCAGGTCCTGCAGTTCTCGTAGCTGTTTTCCTGTAAGTCCCCCAATTCCTAAGTCATCGTCATCTTCTTCAGGTTGGCTAGGGACATTTCCAGAAGAGGGGCCCTGTTTGATAAAGAACTCTTCATGTTGGTCTAGTAGCAATCCATGCAGCATCCAGGCAGAGAGCTGTTTATACATGACTCCGTGGCACACAGCCAGAATCCTGAGGTCAAGAGAAACAGTCAGTCAGGCCTTTGCACACAATAATCAAAATCTCATTGGATGTCATTCCAGAAGGTCCAGTTGGTCAGCCAGGCAGTATGACTAATGTGGTATTTTATACCTTTTTTTTTTTTTTTTTTTTTTTTTTTTTTGTAAACAGAGGAAGGTGGACAAAACCAGAAGGTGCGAAACTAAGCAAACGTCTCCTCTGGACATGTGGCTTCTCCATGGAAGAGAGTATAGTATGCCAGAGGTATAAATCTGCAATGGGTGCTGTTTCTACTCAAATGACATTTTAAGTAGTTTTACTTTCTCCACAATGACATACAAGCATCACAACACTCACACAGTCACATTCATGATTTTGAAGGATCAAAGATCAGTAACAGGTCTACCATATGCAAAACAATTCACGTAGACTTAAAAAAAAAAAAAAATTTGGTCTGAAGTTTTATGAGCCCTTAACCCAAAGTATGGAGAAACCCTTAATTCCCACCACAAGCCTGCTTTAGATAAATAATGGGGAGGGTGACCGTTTTCCCTTGCATGTTACTCCCTTTTTACCATGCAAGGCTGTTTTGCATGTACTGTTTCAACAAGTAAGAAACACTTTGTCACTAACTCCAGAAGAAAGAAGTAATAGTTTTACTGTATCTACATACTTTTCAAGAGCACTGCGAACAGGAGGCAACCCCCCACAGCTATGTTTGTGGACTGTCTCCAATATCTGGCATCCATGAATCTACAGAAAGAAAAGGTTAGACTACATCTGTTATTTGAATCTGTACTGACCTTTTTATGCATTTAAACATTACACTTTCAGCTAAGAAAAAAATGCCTTCACAAACTGAACAGGACTTACAGGAAGGAAGGTGTAACAGGCTCCGTGTAGTAATGAAAAAAGCTGTCTATGTGTGGCTCTACACTCAAGCTTCTCTCAGTACTTTCCCTTAAAAAAATATAAGTGTCTCTGCATTCTGAAAACATTACCCTCTGCCTTTTTTATCTCAGGCAACAGTCTGAGAGAACAGACTCAGAAAATAAAAAATTCCAACCACCAGCATCCTGTCCTATAAAATTCAAGACACCAAAGATGATGGGCTAAGGGAGAAAGTCAAATACAGTGTAAATGAATTTGTAAAATAGTCTCTCAATACTTACAGTAGAACTTGGAATAGGTCATCCATTACTGAAACTACATTATTTTCTAGTATTAGAAGTCTGGGATGGAGGCAGAAATGACTGTATCAGTTAAAGAGGGAAACCTGTTAAGAGAAACTATCTGCATTTTTACTGTACCTTCTGAGTTTTGATCTGTTCCACCATGACCATCACAGAGGGAAAGAGTAACTGAAACTGCAGAACAAGAAGTGAAATATTGATTTAAGTTGTTATGTAAGGAAGAGAGAAAGAAACTATACCTGAGTAACTGTGGACAGCACAATCATTTAATGAAACCATTTTCTGTCTTTCCCCACAAATTAGAAACATGACATGCAAATCTCTAGGAAGTATGTCTTCCCTCCACTGGACCAAAATGCACAAAGTTACTATGATCCAGCAGTAGTTCAGGCTAAACACAGTCAGTGAGGAATGTGTGAGGGTCAAGGTGGAGGACCTTCGCCTTGTGTTGAAGTGCAGGTGATCCTCTGAGCATGATGAAGGGACTACAGATGTAGAGGCATTAGACAGAAATGGCATGACATGATGAAGTAAGCCTTGCTTATCCCGCCCCCTTTCTTATTAGACTAATCGATGAATAAGAGCAAGCAAAGAACACTACCTCTTTAATAACATGACATACCTGGTCCAAGGAGTAATTAACATGTGAGATGGAAAGATGTGGGTCAGCCAGAAACTACAAAGATAAAGCAATTAATAAAGATTAATTATCACAACCACTGGATGATGACATTACCCAAGATATGACAACTACTTGTCTAGCACAGATTAATCAAAACCTCTAAAACTGAAAACAGAAGCCCCAGTAGCCTGAGACAGCACTGGGCTCTGACAAAGATGGAGCCCTTGCTGAACTGAAGGAAGAGGGGACAATACTTATCAGGATGAAAAGTAATTTACAATGGCATCTCACAGGAATAATTTGGAAAGCATCCCTAACATGGAAAGGAAAATACCTTGTTTCATCTTAGAAGCTATTTACTAGCATGTTTATTGTAGAAATGACAAATTTCCACAATCTGTAAGCAGCACTACAGCCTCTTGTTCTGTATCTCTCTCCTTTACCTCTTGTTCTAGGTCAAGTAGTGCCTGTCGATAAGGTTGCAGCACTGAATCAAGACCTGTGCAGAAGGCTCTCAAATAAATGCCATGCAATCCACTCTGGTTTTGCTGAGACAGATGGTGATCCTGAAACCAAACAATAAAATCTGCATCAGCATCCTAGTGCAAGCCTGAATAGTAATGTAATATCCGTGCAGTGTCACAGCAGTAGTCAGTGCTCTGAACATGCCAAAATGCACCTTAGCTCACCATAAAGTGACCAGAAAAACAAATACAACATTGTCATAATGAGAATCACTTGAGCAGATTTACACTGAGCTCTTTCGTGGACCTATACAAGTGCTGGGAGCCACTGGTACCAGTGCTTCTTTTCACTTAAGCATGCCTCTTGGATATCAAGGCTCTTTGCAAGTCAGGAGGAGATAGTCATGAGCATCCTGCTGAGCTCACAAACCCTGGGCAGTCTGCTGTAGTCAGAAATTATTACAAGACTTCCCCAAGAATAAGATTTTATATTCGATGCATCTTTCACTGCTCTCTGCCCTCCCTTACGTGCATCGCAGAGAGCTTTCTGGCGGTCTGCTCGGTGCTAGCGCGAGTGCGTGTGTGGGCCACGGGCCACTCCTGTGTCCTGGGCAGCTTGGTCTTACTGCTATCTGCCGCGCTATTCCCGGGAAATAGCACGGGCCGGCTGCCCCACCTGCTGCTGTACGTGTCCTGTGTACTGCTCCACGAATTCGGCGAAGCGAATGTAGTCGGTGCCCAGGCGGCAAAGCCGATTCAGGACGCTGGTCTCGCTGGGGTGCAGAAACGGCAGCTCCTGAGACACCTAGAAGGGGAAACAGAGGTGACGACGGATGGACGGACGGACCGCACAGGGCGGAGGCGGGGACCAGACGGGGCGGGGACCGGGGTGGGGTGGGCTTTG